ATTTGCTTTATGAATCTGGTCGCACCTGAGTTAGGAGCATAAATATTTAGAATTGTCATGTCTTCTTGTTGAATTGTACCCTTCACCATTATGTAATGGCCATCTTTACCTTTCATTACTTTTGTTGATTTGAAGACTAAGTTACCTGAAATCAGAAATGGTATGCCAGCTTTCTTTTGGTTTCCATTTGCATGGAATATTGTTTTCCATCTTTGAGTCTCAATGCATCCTTGTGTGTTATATGTGTTTCTTGAAGATAGTAGATACTTGGTTTGTGAATATTTATCCTTTCGGCCAGCCTATGTCTCTTTAGTGGGCAGTTCAAGCCATTCACGTTTATTGAAAGAATTGATAAGTGGGGCAGATTTCTGTTCATCCTGTTGAGTTGAATTTTGTTGCTTTGTTTTCTCTCGAGCCATTGTGGTATCTGGCCTTTGACCTTTAGCTTTGGGATGATTTTACACTGGTGAGTGTCTATTGTGCTGATCCATGTGTAATGCTGTTCTAAGTACTTCCTAGAGGGCACGTTTTGTCTTGATGAATTCCCTCAGTCTTTGCTTGTCTGAGAAGGTCTTCAAGACATTTCTCCTTTGTATAAGAAACTTAGTTTTACCCATTCTACTAAGTGAAGTATCACAAGAATGGAAGCACAGCATGTACTCACCATCAAATTGGTATTAACTGATCAACACTTACGTGCACATGTAGTAATAATATTCATCAGGTGTCAGGCAGATGGCGGGGGAGGAGGGGATGAGTATATACACACTTAACGGGTTAAGTGCGCACCATCTGGGGGATGGACGCGGTTGAAGCTCTGACTCGGGTGGGGCAAGGGCAATATACGTAACCTAAACATTTGTACCCCTGTAATATGCTGAAATAAAAACAAAGAATAAAGAAACTTAGTTTTGCAGGATACAAAATTCTAGGATGGCCATCATTCTGTTTGAGAGAACTGAGAATGGGGCCCCAGTCTCTTCTGGCTTGTATGTTCTCAGTTGAGAAGTCTGTAGTTAGTCTGATGGGTTTTCCTTTGTAGGTTACCCACTGCTTTTGCCTTATGGCTCGTAGGAGGGCATCTTTTTTGTTTATTTTGGCCAGTCTGATGACTGTGTGTCATGGTACTTTCCTGTTTGCAGTGAATCTCCCAGGAGTCCTTTGAGCTTCTTGTACCTGGATATCTAGATTTCTAGCAAGGCCAGGGAAATTTTCCTCCATTATACCGTTAAATAGTTTATCCAGCCCTGTGTATTTTCTTCTTCACCCTCAGGGTTGCCTGTGATTTTTATGTTAGACCTCTTCACGTAATCCCACATTTTGTGTAGACTTTGCTCTTTTCTCTTATTTCTCTGCTCTGTGACCGACTTATTTAATTGAAAGGTGTTATCTTCAATCCCTGAGATTCTTCATTCTGCTTGA